AAGCAAGTGAAAGGGCAAAAAGAAAAAATATATATATAAGTTAAAACTCTAAGATTGCAAAAAAAAAGAAAACAACAAAAAACCTCTCCATGAAAGCCTAGCGAATTCTGCTCACTTCTCATGGGCCAGAACCAATTCTCCAGACCCAGCTTCAATACAAGAGAGATGGCAAGAGGAGAGTTTCATCATGTACACTGCTGCTTAGCAAAAACTTGGGATTTTATTGTAAAAGAGAAGAGAATAGCTGTTTGGATGCCACCCAGCAGTCTGCTCTAGTTCATGAAGCCCCCAAGCTAGGAGGGGCAGCCACAGAGATGAAAGCTTTGAGTTGCACGTAGTGGTAGCTGCCGTTTCCCCTCCTGCCAGGTCAGAGCAGTGTAGATACCTGTGGCAGGAGCTGTGCTTGCTACTTGCCGGCCTGTAGACAGTGTAGACTGTGTCAGTCCCTAAGCATTCCCTCTGGGCCAGACCTTGTCCCCCTTTCTCTTGGGGACTGGCAGTATGGTTGGGGCAGGGCTGCTAAGCAGACAGTTCTAACTGTGACTGCCTTGTGTCACCAAGAGAGGAAAATGGGGACATGTCATGTGCGTGGTGTGTGGCAGGAAAAGCATATCTCTGCAGGACCAGGATGGGAGGAGCAGGCGCTAGTCTTTGTTCTGTGTCAGTGTGACCACACCTGCTGCTTGGGAGAAAAATTGACCTGCAGCTGCCTAAGTGTGGGGACCTGACCTTCTGCATCTGCCTTGGGAGGCACAGTGCACCTCGAATAGCCAGGTTCCCTAAGCCCCTTTGTGGCTTTGAACTTGGACTGTCCAAATCCAAGATTGCTTCACACCATGCCCCACCATTGCAAGTTATTTATCCTCTCTCAGACTATTTCCTCATCTGTATGATATGGATGGATGTTACCCCTGTGCAGTCAATGACAAGAGACATTTAGGATGCTCGGGGCAGGGCTTGGAATGGGGTGTCTGATAGATTCTTGCCATACCATCATGGCCAGCACTCTACACCTGAACAGAGAAGCTTCGAAGATTTTCCAGAACAGGGTAGAGAAGAACCAGAGTGGCCTGGATCTTTGTATCTTGCTCTCCCTAGCTGGATGAGGCCCCTGAAGAGGGTCTTCTGCATGCTGCTTCTGAGCTGTGGAGGGGCTGAGCAGAAGGCTGTGGGTGGTGGAGAAGCTGAGCCGTCTCCTGATGAGCCCCAATACAGGAAGCCACCCCGTCAGGCACAGGGAACCACAGAGCACCAGATGGTACTGAAGTTTGGTTTCTCGTGCCCTATCTTTGTGAAGGTCTGAGATACGGTAGGTCTTTTCCCCCAGGACACTGGGTGATTCATCTCCACAGGCACAGAAGGACAGAATGCTCCTTGGGGACCCAGAGGACACAATGGCACGTGTTTGTGTGTGTTCATTCTCCCATTCAGTCTCAGTCTTCCTGACTTTCGCCAATGGAGAGAGAACATGGGAGCTGGCTTAGCTGTGTGGTGTGTGTGCGTATTCGTGTGTGCCTGCCTGGAGCTCAGAGAGGGCCTGATAGGGCCACAGACCTTGGCACAAAAGCACAGGGCCTCACAAGGCATGACTTTAATCCTGTTTCTACTACATGAGCCGGTGGCGTGGGGAGGTCACCCGGGTCTCATTGACTCTGTGCTTCCTTTCCTGTGGCCATGTGTGAGGGACTCTGCCTGAGCTGGGGAGATGCTTAGCACACCTTCTCCCTCACCCCAGCCCACTTGGGATGAGGGGCACCCTGCAGCTCTGTGCCCTTGAGACTTCACTTCCCTCTCCTGACACCGGGGTCTTTGCCCCAGTGAAGCTGGCCATGACACATGCCTCTTGTTCAGGGACCTGCCTGGGGTTAACATCAGGGAGGGGCAGCTACAGGCCATGGGGATGACTCCCACGTGCTGTCAGGAGCATGAGCCAGTCCTGGGAGATGTCACGGGGAGGAGCCACCTGGATGAATCTGATTGTGGCGAGCAAGTGAGCTGTCCTAGGTCACACATCCATGGCTCTACGAGCCTGAGGCTTTGCCAGCTATCCTGAGTGCTTGCATGTAGGCAGCTCTGAGTGGAACAGCCAGACACCTGGATGGCCTTCCCCCTCAGACTAAGAGGTGGGCTCCTCAAATTAAAAAATATATTTTGTAGGGCAGCTGAAGAGATTGGTAAAAGAGATGAGACGCATGGCACTCCTAGGCCTGCCAGGGCCATTGTTGTAGGTTCAGGCAGGCCGGGGGTCTGGCCTCTACCACCAGGTTAGAAGTCTCTGTCCCATATGCTGAGCATCCTTTCCTACTTGGGACTGCTCACACTCCCACAGTAATCCTGCTCATCAGGGACCAGTGCAGCCATTCTCCAGCTCAAAGGCCAGGACCTACAGGCCCGGGGGCTGGGCAAGGGTGGAGTGTGGATGTGAAACTGAGTGTGCCTGGCCTGGCCTATTTTTAGAGGGAGCCATGTGGGCCAGCCAGGGAGACAATGAAGATTGTGGCCCCATAATGGGCCATTGTGGCTTCAGGGCCCAGCAGATGACTAGTGGCCCCATGGGGGCTGGGCCTGGCCATTAACAGAGTTGGCCGTGGATTTTTCCAGTGCTTGTTTTGAGCAAGGAAGAAATGTTGGTCCCAGAGGGCAAGAGGGCAGGAGATGACAGACTGGTGAGCTCTGTGTTCCAGGTGACTTGGTTTTGGGGTCTCAGAGGACCCCATGCTCAGGGCGAGGGTCGACACTTTGTGGACCCAAGCTTTTCTCCCATTCCACAGAGGAGCAGCATGGCCCTTGCTGTGCATGCTTCAGGGGTTTCTGGGTTTAAGGTCACGGCCCCTACATCTCTCTGCCGAAACAGGACACTAGACCAGGCTGTGTTTCTCTCTTCTTGGGTCAGATTCTTACTTGGGAGCCACTGGCTTTATGGGATTTTGCGAGCCTTTACTGGCCCTTCCTGCTAGCCCCCACTAGGGTAAATCATCTGGAGAGTCTATCCTCTGTGGGGCCTCCTACCACTGCCCACTGCCTTGTGAATTTTTCTCCACACATCTCTCTGAGAAATTAGAGAGCCTGGTATATATTAGGTGTCTAATAAAGGTTTGTTGGATGAAGTATAACTGGCTTAAGTGTCAGAGGTAGAAATTACTAGAGGTGGACCTGCCCTCCAACCTTGTAGACAGTGTGGGAGTGGCCAGTCACCCTGCCCAAGATGAGATGATTGGCCTGGGGTCCTGTTGCAGTCACCTGCTGTGCCCCATAGGTCTCCAGCATTTTTAGGAGGGAGGCAGGCACTGGGCTGCTCCCATGTTATAGATGGGGTGACTGGCCCAAGCTCACAGGGCTCTTGGCTGTGTGGTTACTGCCTCTTCTCATGTGAGGTCATGAACACTGGCCTTCCTCTCTCCTGCCGTGCAGCAGGGACCTTTGTGGTCAAATCTCTACTGGCTTTGGGGAGCCAATTCCTGGCCTCCACGTGTTCCCTGTACTACTCACATGCCTCATTTGCTCTCAAAAGCTAACCTGAGTGGTTCCCTGAGGTGTGTGAGTGTGGGTTGATATTTTCAATCCCCCACTGTGTGAGGAGATGAGAAACCTGAGGACACTAAGGCCAGCTGTCTGGGAGCACCACTGCTGTCACCTGCCTGTGTGGCTCTGACTGGAACTTCATGGTCCAGAGCCAGAATGAGTTGCATGGTCATTTGGGCTCTCAGGAGAGTGAAGGGCCTGGAAAGAAGTGGCTCAGCATTGCACAGCACCAGGAAGGCCTCAGTGTCCCCGGCTGGGAGGTGGCATTTTGGAGGGAAGTCGCTGCTCTTACACACAGGATCACTCTAGGGAGACTGTGACGCAGGGCTTCTGGGCAGTTCTGAGGGGGCGGGAATCCAAGACAGGGAGGGCCCAAGGTTGAAGAGAAAGTGACTCATTGAAAAGGTCCATGACTATCGCCATCTTGGACAATTTAGATAACAATGGCAAGTGAAAAATTGGTCCAGAAATGAGTTGAGGTAGTTAGAACCAAGATGAGGGACATGTTTCTTTTAAGATGGGAGAATGGTGAATGTGTGCTCTGCTCTGAGGCAGAGCCCTGAGGGATTTAGTACCCTGAGTAGGGGTGAGTCCACTTGAAGATACAGGCTAGAGACTTGGCCTTGACTTGGAGGAGCTACCCAACCCTCCTGAAGGAGAATGGAAGGAAGAAGGGATATGGTGTCACATAGGATGTTTTTGGATAACCCAAATGGTGTATACGGGGGCTGGAAGTGGTTGACCAGTTGACTGAAATTCTCTGGGCTGGATAGATTTTCTCTAGGTAGACTCTTGCCTCAAGGCGACAATATGACTCCTATATATACACCTCTGGGTCCCAGCCTTGCCAGGTCAAGTCTATTCTGACCCCTGGCAAAAAGTGAGTAAGGTGGGCTCTGAGTTGCCTCCTTGCACTCAGGCCCTGATGTTGGGACATGAGATACAGGAACCAGTTTCAGCCTGTGGAATGTGCAGGAGGGGCAAGTGCTCACACTCTTGCTAAGACTGAGTGTGAGGGGGATGGATTCACAAAGGAAACTGGAGGCTCTTCCTGGAAAAGGAAGTGCATTCTGGGCCACCCTGAATCATCATACGTCCATCACAGGGCCAGCAAACTGTAAGTTAGGTGATATGAGAAAAGTTTTTGCTTTCCCTTCTGCTTATACCTCGAAGGCCTCGATTTGTGAATGGAAGACATAGAACCATCTGCAGAGAGGGTTCTGGAGCCACTCTGGCTCTGTAGCTTCGTGCAGTGATGGCACCGTCCACTCCAGGTGTCCCCCTCCTCCTGATGGAGCCTTTCTCCGTTTCCAACCCCCTCCCTCCTGGGTGTCCTTTCTGGCCAGAAAGACCACTGCCTGGAACTCTGGGCCCCGTGTGCACTCTGAGTGTCCTTAAAGCAGTCAACAACTCGCTGAATGCCTCTGGTTAGCACGTACTGCCCACTTGACAGGCTTCTGTGTGCTGTCTTTCCCCAGGAGCAGGACATCGAGACGTTACATGGCTCTCTGCACGTCACCCTATGCGGGTCCCCCAAGGGAAATCGGCCTGTCATCCTCACATACCATGACATTGGCATGAACCGTAAGTTCCCTAGAGCATTAGGTCCCAGAGGGAGCGGGGCGAGCCGAAAGGGTGAGAGTTTTGGTGACCAGCAACTCTCCATCTTTGCCTCAGGCCTTCCAAAAGTGGCAGCTTCATATAGGTCACCTTAGAGGGTTCATACTTTATCTACCATGCTTCTCCTTGCTTGAAAATCTTCTGTGTTCTGGCCACAGATGTGATGGCCTAGGGGACCTAAGTAGAGCATGTCAATGGAGCCAGACTGCCTCATGCACACACAGCAGCCATGGCTGGGAAGAGGCAGGAGCGAGCCTGGGAGCCGTCCTGGCACCAGTGCAAATCCAAGATTCAATAACTGCCCGTGCAGTGGAGGCCATTGGCCTTCTCCACCTTCATCCTACACCCTCAGTCCCATGGTTTATTCTTGCTTTTATCACCAGAACAAAGGGGGTCCAGGGCCAGAAAGACCAGCAGCCCTGCCCGGGAGCCCGCCTCACCTGCTGTATTGAAATGACACTAGTAAAGCCAATGGGCGGGGCTGGCCATCCAGCATCCCCTGTTTTCTCACCTAACTTCTCTCTCACCCCCTCCCGGCCGGTTCTCCAGACAAAACCTGCTACAACCCCCTCTTCAACTCTGAGGACATGCAGGAGATCACCCAGCACTTTGCCGTGTGCCATGTGGATGCCCCGGGCCAGCAGGATGGTGCTCCGTCCTTCCCAGCGGGGTGAGAGACGTGGGGTCCCTGTGCTTCAGGAGCCATGCAAGGGGAGACAGGGTGGGAAGGCATCAAGCTCACTTTAAAACGTTTTCCTTCACCAGGGCAAAATACCACATTTGCTAGTTCATACGATTTAGCCTCTTAACCATGTTGAAGGGCACAGTTCTGTGGCAGTGAGTTCTGAAATTGCCGTGTAGCCATCTCCAGGGCTTTACCTCACCTCCCATCCCACTGGAACTTGCTCGTTAAGCACTTCTCACCATCTCTGGCAAGGCTGGCTTTATGACGCCTGTACTCCACCTGGACAGGAGCGATGGCAGAGAGGGCCCTTGGGGAGAAAACCTTGAAAGTTGAAAAGAGCGGGAGGGAGGTAATAACATCGTTGCACTTACTACAGGCCAGGCTTCAAAATTCATATTTATCGATGTCATTGTCACTTAATTGATCGCTGGCGATGCTAGCTCCGCTTTCGAGATGAGGAAGCTGAGACACAGGGGTTAACTGCCTTGCTCAAGGCCATGGAACTGGAAGTGGGAAGTTGCGCGTAGGCCTCAGTCTGCTGCTGACTGTAAGAGTCTGTCCCTTTGGAGCACGAGCAGGCCTTGCTCCTCGTGTTTATTCCCTGGCCTTCACAACGTGTGGCCAGTGTGGCATCTCCATTTCCACATGCATCAGCTTACCGATCCTTAGCAGTGTTGCCTGGGCTAGCAGACCTCAGAGATGCCTCTAATGTGCTTGTACTTCAGTGGACCAGGCCAGGCTGGCTGCCCCTGGTGACTCTTCCAGGAGGGCCCTTGGATCTTTTACAGCTAGATAGCTTTTTTTAGTTTTTTAGAATTATTCTTAATTATTAACCTTTATCAGTGAAGGACGGGAGGGACACTGGGCCTCAGGGTAAAGAGGTAAAGAGGAACCAAAGGTAAAGAGCTTGTGAAAATAGTGGGGTACAGTTAACATTTAACCAGAAGAGAGGGTGGGCCGTGGAGGCCCACCGTAAGCTGGTCCTGGGTGGGACCAAAGATGGGGTGAAACTGAGGCTCTTAGTTCCCCCTGCCCGGGCCCCCCCCCAGGAATTTCACTTCACGTACCTGGAGGCCCGGATGCAGGCTGCTCCCCTCAGCTGACCAGGTGGTCCAGGGTGTGGTGGTGGTAGCCAGCATTGGAAGGGGCCAGGCCTCTGAAGTCAGGCTTGAGGGTCTCCCAGGCCCCGGGAGGGTGACATCCCCTGATCCCGAGGCCCACTCAACAGAGAACTGATTCCCTTTGCTATGCAGCTGGCCCTGGGGTGTGGGAAGGGTAGAAGAGCCCCTGACCACACCTGGGGAGCTGCCAGCTACACACTGAGCCCTGGCCACTTTGGAGGAACCTGGCATTTCAGCCCCTTCTCTCCCCAGGTTCTCTCGGGCCATCACCTGGTCTTGTAGAGCCACATGGCTTGTGCCCAGCCTCAGGATGTTTATGAACTTGGTGCTGGGAGCCATAGCAGCCTCAGAGTCAGTGTGAGAAGTGAATGGGGCCTCTTCCAGGGGGCTTGGAGCAGAGGCAGCAGTGGATCCAAAGTCACTTTACTAAAGGAAGGAGGGGCTTAGCATGGGAGCAGGCTCACCCAGGGATGAGTTTGTGTGTGCAACCCAGCATGGAGCGGCCGGGCAGGGAGCAGGTACAGGGCCTCCCAGAGTGTGTTGCCTGTGTTGGCGGGGTCCTACCGCTCACAGGCCGCCTCTCCATGTCCTCCCAGGTACATGTACCCTTCCATGGATCAGCTGGCCGAGATGCTTCCAGGAGTCCTCCTCCAGTTTGGGTAAGCGTGCAAGGCCTGATGCCCTTGGTCTGTAGGGACAAGGGTATCTGGCCTCCCTGCCTCCCAGCTGTGACCTGGTCTGGCTTCCGGCGTGCAGGTTGGGGCTTCAGGATGGGGCCAGAGGGAGCTCACTGCAGTGTGCACCTCTTGTCCCTCCCAAGCCTCACCCCACATTCCTCTCCCACTTTAACCTTTCTTCTTGAGTAGCCATATCACATGCTGGCGGCAGCCCCTACCCTGTCTTTGCTTTCTTGTTCCTCAATCCCCTTTCCTTCACATGGAATGTTCTAGAATGGAGCTGCCAATACCTCAGCTTCTCTCTTCAGTCCCTCAGTTTGCCAATGTATCCCTCCATCCTGCCCCAATACTCGGGATTGAACCCAGGGCCTTTGCACTGAATTACATCCCCAGCCCATTCTTATTTTTTATTTTGAAAAAAAAAAAAAAGTTACAGATTTGCTCAGTTGCCCAGGCTGGGCTCAAACTTACTATCCTCCTGCCTCAGCCTCACTTGAGCCTTTCCGTTAGGTAGATAACCCCTTGTGGTTCTGGCCCAGTTAATTTCATTCCAAGACTTAAAATCCCCCCCGCCCAAAAGCTTGGGAGTGGAAGAAGCGAAGCCTCGGTGGGCCTTCCTGTAAATAGCAGGCGTCTAAGAGCCCTGGAAGCAGGGCAGGAAAAGCGAGATGGGCAAGTCCCTGCAGGGCCGCACTCTCTGGCCCATCAGAGCCTGATTCATGCAGGCTGCCCAGGGCGAGAGCAGCTCCGTGTCAGCCAGCTCAGTGAGCACCAGGGCAGACCCCAGGGCACCGGGATGTTGAGGGACAAGACCAACTGCAAGGTAAGCACCCCTTTCCTCTGATGACATCACTTCTCACTTCCTTCCCAGGCTGAAAAGCGTCATTGGCATGGGCACGGGCGCCGGCGCCTACATCCTCAGCCGCTTTGCTGTGAGTTCTTGCAGTTTGCACTGAAACACCCGGAAAGGCATGTAGATGACCAAGAGAGAGAAAGCAGGGAGCTGCACTTCCATTTCCCAAGTGACACATGCACACTGTGGTGTGTGGGAGTGTGCCAGTGTGTGTGGCACACGTTCTCATGCACGCATGCCTGCAGCTCTGTGCACTCACTGAAATATAGCACTGGATGTGCCCTGTCCCAGCCTGGCCTGCAGCAGTCACTGTGGACAGCTTTGTCACAGCTGCATGTTTTCATGATCTTGGATCCTGACAGGTTCCGAGAATGAGTCTGCTGACACCATTGTTACCACATCAGGGCCTTTGCGTTCTTACCAGGCATGGTTCTGGACACGGGGAGCTCACTGTATTCAGCTGTGGTGTTCTGACCCAGGTCAGATAATGAGTGTACACTCCGGCCCAGCATCTCAGCTATAAAAGGCTGCAGCTGCATCCTAGGGATCTGTGTGTTTCCAGGAAGTAACAGCAGCACAGAGCATGTGCGTGTGCGCTTCAATGGTGCCATGAATGAGGTGCTGGACACGTTGGGCAGCTGGGGCCACAAGGCCCCAGGCAGGTCTGCGCAGTGTGGTGCTTCCCGCACCCTGTGTGTCCTCATTCTGCTCTCTGGGAGAGCTGTTCAGTTCTGAAGGACCTGGAAGCCCCGGTGCTGCATGGTGTGGCACAGGGGTCTTCACGACCCTGAGGTGGTGGCTCTCTCTCTGGATCCACACTGGCCCTTTTCCTGTTCCTTCCCCCAAGCTTCCCTGTGACAGGAATCTCCTAGAGCTTCAGAATCCTGTCTGTCTGTCCACCTGACTGTGTGTCTCCCAACCCCAGCTGAACAACCCAGAAATGGTGGAGGGCCTCGTCCTTATCAACGTGAACCCTTGTGCCGAAGGCTGGATGGACTGGGCTGCTTCCAAGGTGAGGCCGGGGGCAGGGTCCCGGCAGTGGAGGGAGGCCCACACCAGTGATGTCAGAGGGGCAGGGTTCCGAGCCAGCTTCCTAAGCATCACTCAGAGTCCTGAGTATTTGCAGATCTCTACCATGTGCTAGACTTCTCAAACTGTCAGTGATCTCACTGAGTCAAACTCTTTGAGGCAAATAGGACAGAAGTCTCTGAGGAACCCTCACATTACAGATGAAAGTGGATGTTCTCAGTGTGGACTTGGATGCTGTTACCATAGTAACTAGCTCCCGTGTTTGGGCGCTGCCTCTGCCTTAGTAGCAGGCTCCATTGCTCTCCCCCCACTTCTTCTCAGTCAGCCCAGGGGGTGACCTCTTCACAGAGCAGGAAATTAGCTAAGGAAGCTGTCCAAGGTCACGTAGTGCTGGGCAGCAGGACCGGACTGGACACTCGTCACTCTGACACCAAGGTCCATGGGCCTTGCTGTTTCAGGGTGGGAGATAGGCTGCAGGGCGAAGGGCCTTGATGCTCAGCAGGCACTGCCTGGCCAGGCTCCTGCAGCTCCTTATTTATCTTTTTTGAATGATTATTACTTTTACTTTAATTTTTTTTTCCCATCAAGGCCCCAGGGTTTGTGCAGGGGGTGGGTGTCGTTCCAATGGAAGCCAGAGGACACGCTTCCACCATCTCAGTGCAAAAGTATTTTCTCCCTTGAAGTGGCTGGGAGGTTGGGGCACCACGCCCACCTCCTGTCCCTGCAGTGGCAGCTCTGACGTGTTCCCCACCCCAGTGTTGTTCCTCCAGAACCTAGAAGCCTGGCCCCTCTGCCCTTGGAAGGACATTCAGGTGCAGAACATGCTCTCCATTTTTCTTTGCTTTTCCAGCAAAGGAAGTGACATTCCAGTCACCAGCTTGGCTCCTGGTTAGCTGTTTTGAGTCAGGCGTGAGGGGCCCGGGATGCTGGCCCTGGCTGGAATAAGGCCTGAGGCCTCCTGGGCTTATATCCACACTATGCCCTCAATGTCCAGCCCAGCTGCTGAGAAAGACCCCAGTGTGTCAGGCACAGGCATCAGGTGCTGTGGTTCCTTAGCTGCCTCCTGTGATCATTACCATGGACTTGTGATGCTGAGATTCTTGGCACCTGCAGTTAGGGATGAGAGGTCTGAGGCCCAGATGCCTCCACCTGCCCAGTGCTGCCCAGCTAGGAGGTGGAGTCAGTGGCCAACCTGAGGCCCTAGGCTAGGAGCTTCCCCTCACCAGTCCCCGCCGATGCTGGAGTGGGTCAGCAAGCCCTCCCGGAGTTGTGCTATGAAGAACTCTTTCCGTGCATCATGTATGGAGCTCGTGCTGTAGACATAGCCTTGTTGGGGAGAGAGGGAGGGAGCCAGTTGTGAATGAATTTCCTGACTCCATAGATGCCCTTAGATACACGGAAAGGAAACTGGCATATGGGAGAGCAGCATGGTGTGCCAAGAGGTGCTGTGGGCTAAGCAGGCCCTGGATGGGCACTGGCAGGCTGAGGGCCTCTCTGTGAGGGTCAGGTGCTGTTGCAGCTGGGTGAGCCTCAGCAGCCCCACCTATTGTGCCCCTCCTGGCCAGGGCTGAGAGGATGCAGTCTTGGGCAGAGACCAGGCTGGCCTGCCAGGGGCTACAGCTCCCACAGGAGCCAGAGTCAGGAGTGAAATCCTGCTTCCACCAATGCCTGAGATCTTCACCTTTCAGAGAGAAAATGGTTATTTTGACTTACAGTTTTGGAGGTTTGGCCGAGCTGTTCTGGACTCGTGGTGAGCAGCCCTGTGCGGCAGCCCAAAGCTGCTTACCTCGTGGCTAGAAAGCAAAATGTACACAGAAGGGACTGGGGTCCCACTCTCCCCTTGAAGGACCCCCAGTGACCTGAAGACCTCCCTTAAGCCCCTCTCTTAAGGGTTCCACGCACGCCGAAAGCGCCCTGCTGGGGACCCAGCCTTTAACATGAGGACCCTTTGGGGACATTCTGATGCAAGCTCCAGCATGGGTGCCCTCAAGAATGAAAACGGGGGGCCTAGAATGCCACTCTCTCCCTGGGCAGGGGGGTTACCTGTGCTTGGCCCCCTCTGTGGACACTGCTTTCCCATGCACCCGCTGTCTTCCTGCAGATCTCCGGATGGACCCAGGCCCTGCCGGACATGGTGGTGTCGCACCTCTTTGGGAAGGTGAGTGGACGGCCAGGCACCCAGGCACGGGGCCCTTCACACCGGGCGGTTAACTGAGGGGCTCAGGGAGTGGCCTTGTGAATGGGTGGAGATGAATGAGATAGTCAAGGGGGACCCTGTGCCGATACCCGAGCCATACAGTGACAGTCAGCAAGCCATTCGTTCCGCCTCCCCTTACACACAGATCCTTTTATTGAAGTCCAACACTCTGCACGTATTTTGACAAAATTTGACATAGGTGTATATCAGTGGAACCATGGCTAAAATCAAGACAATGGACATTTCCAGCACCCCCAAGGCTTCCTGTACCCCATGATAATCCTCCTCTCCTTCCTTCCCAGATATCTTCTGATTTTCTTTCTGCCACTTTAGATCAGTGTGCAGTTCCGGATTTGAACAGAAGGGTCCAGGGCAGCATGGACTCCTACTTTTGGTCTCCGCCCACTCAGCTTCCTATTTTGAGGCCCCACTGCACTGTGGTGTTAGCCATGGCATGTTCCATGTCAGAGCTGAGCAGTGTTCTGGGATTGGTGGATCCCAGCTGTTCTCAGTCACCTGTTCGTGGACTGCATTGTCTTCTGCGGAGAATCACCAGCAAGCTCTGCAGCAGAGCCCTCCCTGGGTTTAGCTGTGTGCCGCCGGGTGCTGTGCTCAGGACTTCACAGCTATTGGCTCATTGCACCTGCTCAGCTCTGTGGCCTGTGTGATAAGTACTAGTTTCATCTCCACTTTTGCACAAGGCAATGGGCCAAGCAGGCAGAGTGACCTGTGTGAAGTCTCACTGTAGGGAGAAGGGTGGTGGAGATTTGCACCTGCGATCCATGCTGGTGGCTGCTGTGATACCCTGGACCCGGGGCCTCAGGTCTCATGTGGCTCTGAGTTGGTCTGTGCTTGGCAGAGCTGTCCCTCCCCTAGGGCGCTCAGTGGGCCACAAGGCCAGGCCTCTCCTGGCACACTGGAGACCAGCCCTGGCAGTACAGTCTCAGCCTCCGGTTTTACATTTCCACCCTTGACCACGCCAGCCACTGTGTTTACTGTGTGCCTTTCGCACTGCTGTCTGCTGCTGAACTGAGGAGTGTGACCATCTGGCACCCACTCCTGAGCCCCAGAGCAGCAGAAGATGCTCAGCTTTGGAGGTGGCAAGGTGCAGCCACTGGGTGTGGCCCTTGTATTCTGTTCCCTGTGACTGCTGTGATGCAGCATGACAGAGAAAATGGCTTAGGATGACAGAAACCCTCCACAGGCTCTGGGGAATCTCTCTGATTCTCTCAGCTTTTGGGAGCTGTCAGCTTTCCTTGGCTGGTGCCTGTGTACTCTCTCCTCTGACCCTTCTCCCATGGCCTGCTCTGTGTCTGTCCCAACTCTCTCATCTTTGCCCAGGGACACTTGGCAGGTATTTAGGGCCCACAGGGAGAATGCAGGAGAATCACGTCTCACGTCCCATAATCAATCACATCTGAGAAAACCCTTTTCTCAAATGAGGTCACATTTGCAAGTACCAGGCTGGATGTGGACATGGCCTTTGGAGGCCACTCTTAAGCCCACTGCAGTTCTGCTGCTTCTTTCTGGTTCATGCCACAGGTTCAGATGCATTTTCTCTGCCCTTAGCACATCTCATGGAGCAGAGAGGCATTTGCAAGAGTTCAGAGCCAGTGTATCTGTTTCCCCAGAAGGAGATGTCAGGGGTAACCTTGAAAGTCGGACCTGACTATAACACAAGTTCTTGGAGCTGGGCGGTCAGACAGCGAGGGCCTCTGTTGTCCCCCAAGTTCCTGCAGTTCTGTTCTGGTTAGAAATACCAGGATGAAATAATCCTCAGATTATTTTTCCTAACTTTTTTCTTAGTGGCCAGCTGGCCTCCTTGCTGCTTTAGTGACTGTGACCGTGGCTGCTTTGACACAGCTCAGACTTGACATTGGCTTTCCCCACCCCTGCTCTAGTTGTCTCTGATCATGTCAGATCTTTGTATGAAAACCACAGCACCTGCCCTGTATAGAGGAGAAACAGAGCAAGCTCTTAACTTGGTCCCAAATCACACTGGAAAAGCCCCCTAGAGAGCAGGCAAGCTGAGGTTGACCCCACAGAGGGCCTGGGGCCCCCTGCGGGAACTGAGATTTCCACTTTCGAGTAACTTCCTGTTGCATGAGTTGGCTTTCAAGCATGAAAAACTTCAACTCCCTCCATTAAAAAATAATTGCTGAGGGCTAGAGATTTGACTCAGTGGTGCTGCCGACTGCCTTGCCAGTGCAAGGGCCCTAGTTCTATCGCCAGTACCAAAAAATAAATAAATAAATAAAATAATACTGGCATTTGTATCCGATTTGGGCTGTTTGCAATGGATTTTCGTGTGCACAGCCTTCTTAAATCCCATAAACACCCTCTTTGTCTAAGGACCTGAGGCTCAGAGAGTTCAAAGGATTAACCTGCCGAAGGGGTGGTGCTGGAGCTGGGCGGTCCACAGCAGCACTTGGCCTTGCGGCGCTGTACCAGAGACCAGGAGACACAACCATCCCCTTGGTGGGGCGTCTTCCTGCTCCCCGCTGACTGCCATGCCGCCATCCCCAAAGCTCCTCATGCTCCATGGCTCGTTGCCTTTGCCTCATACCTGGGCCACCTGCAGCTGGACAGCCAGGGACAGCCAGGTCCTGGCACAGTAAAGAGCACCTCTCTGCCCGCAGGAGGAGTTGCACAATAATGTGGAGGTGGTGCACACCTACCGCCAGCACATCCTCAATGACATGAACCCGGGCAACCTGCACCTGTTCATCAATGCTTACAACAGGTACCTCTGGCCAGTGGCTGGCAGGGCAAGGGCGGTGGCTCTCGGAGGTGCGGCAGGCGGGGCGGACAGGTGCCTGACAAGGACACCCGTGTGTCAGGGGCTTCTGCAGTTTTGTGAGCACAGAGCTGGACAGTAGAGGCTGCCTCAGGCCGGAGGGTCAGTGCACATGCTCGCGGGTGCTGCACAGACAGCTCCGTGAGCAGAGCAGTGCAGCACCAGGCAGAAGGAAGGAGGGATCCCGAGGGCTGCTCAGAAGCCAGTCTGTTCTTCTGAGTTCAGAAAGCACAGGAATGGGGGACCTGGTGTCGGCCCCTGGTTCTGGGATCAGCCGGCCCCTGCTGAGATGGCTCTGCCACACTCCTCAGTACAGGACAGGAAGGCCCAAGGGGTCGTCCGGCCTCACATGGTAATGACGGGATATCACCGAGCATGCTGATGTTCACGGCAAAGTCCGATGGACATTTCCTCTGGTGTCCTGCGGCATCCCAGCGCGGGCGGCAAAGCTGAGGCTCGCTGTCTCCAAAGAAGCAGACTTTGAAGTGCACTGACTCCTGACCACTTCCCGAGAACAGGAGGGAGGCTGGCCTGCGGCTGGGAAGTGACCCCTCATGAGCACAGTGCTTGGGAGGAGGTGCTGCTGGTCCTGTGGTGTTTTCCTATTGAGGAAGCAAAGGCTCAGAGAGGCTTACTGATCTCCCCAAGGTCACAAAGCCAGGAAGTGGAGCTTGATTTGAACCATGCTTGTCAGGCTGCGGACTGAGAGTGAAGGCGGCTCCTGTGGGGAGCTTGCAGACAGCGGAGGGGTGATATAGTCATCCAGGGGAGGGTGGTCCACACTGGGCCCCATGCGTACAGTGGGAAGCCCTGGGGTCTTGCACCGGTGGGAGGGAGCTGAGGTCTGAGTTTGCGGGAGACTGGGGGTGGAGGAGCTAAGATCAGTTACTGGTTAAGACAGGAGGCCCTAAGACCACTGCAGGTACATTTGTAACACCGGGATGATGTAAGAAAGCCTGGGAGAAGAAAGAACCCTCTGGAGTCAAGGCAGGATTTGTATCCCTGAAACAATAGCAGTTAGTGCACTGGGACAGAAAGAGGAGGGTCCTGCTGGATGTGCTGGAGTCCTGCTGTCCCCTCGCACTCCCAAGGATGCAGGGAGGCAGTGGGTCCCGGCGGCCTGCCAGCTGCTGCAGCCCGTGGGCTTGGGTGGCTCTGCACCCGGTGGCAGGAGGGCAGCCTGTGTGTGCTGATGCTAAGATGCACTTATCCCCTGCAGCCGGCGGGACCTGGAGATCGAGCGGCCCGTACCGGGCGCCCACAGCGGGACTCTACAGTGAGTTCTTGTCCCTCCCACCCTGCAGTCTGGAGCCCCCGGGGTGCGGGATGGGGCGGGACAGGGCGGGCGCTGGGAGCTGGCCGACCCTGATGGGTTGGCACGGCCCCTCACCCCTCAGGCTGCACCCTCGATGTGGGGGTCTGGGGGGAGGTGTGCTGCCCACACCCCACCGCCCTCTCCTTGGTACTCCTAGGCTTCGCTGCACAACGCGGGGTGCAGGGAGGAAAGGCCGGGTCCCTGAGGCTCCCGGGGCACATGGCACGGTGCAGCCCTTGTGACTTCGCCGGGCTTTGTTCCCCTTGTTGCTCCTGTGGTTCATTTCCGGCTCAGTCCGGCTCACACTCCCCGATGAGAGGGGTCCTTTAGATCAAACCAGCAGGGCCCAGAACTTCTCTGACTGAAGCCTGCCCACCAGCCCTTCCATGGAGAGGGCGGAACCGATGGGGGAGGAGGGAGCGCTGTGAGAGGAGCAGAGGCTGCTGGGAGATGGAACAGTGGCCAGGTGGGGGTGCCAACTCTTCCCTGTCATCCCAGGTGCCCTGCTCTGCTGGTGGTCGGGGACAGCTCTCCTGCGGTGGACGCCGTGGTGAGTGGAGATGGAGGGCCCCTCCCTGCCCCGTGTGTGCGGGCACTACCTGCCGTACTGGCCCCTGCCATTAATCAGAGCCTCAGCTTGGGCTGCCCAGTAGGATTTGCAGATGGTCATGTGGTAAAGACCTGCAGTGTTTTAAGGAACCATGAGTTTCTTGTGACTCACTAGAGATAATCATAGGATGCATCAATAGAGATATATTGTTCATGCCAAGGGAGGTGATAGTTCTTCTTTAGGCATTTGGAACATCATAGATTGCTTACAGATAATTGCTTAATTCTGGATACCACTTTTAAGAGGGACACTCAGAAGGAAGACAGAAACTGCTTTGGTGGGAGTGACTGAACATGAAGAAAGATTGTTGGAACTGCAGTTGTTAAATCTATACAGTTCCTGGCAGCAGCTAGCAAAATAAGGCTGTTCATTTAGCAGACACTTACAGAGCATCCTGCACCTTCCAGGTAGTCTTTGTAACAGCCTTTGGAGAGATGTTCACTCTTCATTTAATTCACGGGGAAACTGAGGCTCAGAGAATTAAGTAACTTGTCCAGGGCCACACAGCTGGTCACAGCAGATGGGATCTGCATGGCCTGGGAGCCCAGGTTCTTCCTTCCGTGCTGAGGAAGATCAGGGTTTCCAGTGCCAGGGCAGAGAAGGACAGGGGCGCGGTACTGACAGAGCCCTGCCCTTGACCAGGTGGAGTGCAACTCGAAACTGGACCCCACGAAGACCACTCTGCTCAAGGTACGGGGACAGCGGGCGTTGCGTGTGCAGAGACACAATCCTCCCGGGGCACGGGGTGGGTGGACTGGGAGGCTTGGCAGGGGCTCTGGGTCCTGGGCTATAGCTGGTGCCTGCCATGGGACTCTGGCTGCCCAGGAGCACAAACAACTCAAGGCAGTGCACAGCCTGGGCGCCCCCACCCAAGGGTCTGCGCAAGGCCGAGACCACCCAGCGGGGATGCCACATGGAGCAGGGCTCTTTCCCCTTCTTCCCAAAGGTGCGCCCACCAGGGAGGGCAGGTGGAAGAAGGGACCTGGGGGATGAGGTGGTAGTGCGCTCTCCACATGACCTGGCCCCACATGCATTTTCTGATCCCTCACATTCCATTGCGAGATGGGAAGATGCTGGGCTCCGGCCCTCATGGTGCTGAACTTCAGGGACTGTGGAGACCAATCCACAGTGTGGAAACCGCACACTTAGTTTCCCAGGCAGCGGAAATCCCTCCCTCCTGGTGCCAGAGGCCGAAAGACCAAGAGCCGGGTGCTAGCAGGTGCAGGTCCTCTGCAGGCTCTGGGGGGCCCTGCCCCCGCTGTTCCAGCTCTCAGTCACTGCAGCCTCTCAGTGCTCAGGGCTCTGCCTCAGCCCCCTCATGGCAGGCAGTGTGTCCCTCTGTCTCCTGGTCTGGGTCCAGATTTCCTTTTTTTGTTTGTTTTTTGTGGTTCTGGGATTGAACCCAGGGCCTTTAAACTACATCCTTTTTATCAAGAGGGTCTCACTAAGTTGCCTGGGCTGGACTCCAGCCTCCCAGAGTGCTGGGATTTCAGGTGTGTGCCCCCAAGACTCACTTCCCTTTTCTTTTGTGGAAGTCAGCTCCTCCCCAGATTTAGGGCCTGCAGTAATCTAACAGGACTATATCTCGACTGCATCTGTAAAAATCTTCTTTATTTCCAAAGACAGTCTTCTTCAGGGTAGCTGGAGTGGGAGCTTTAGTATGCCCATGGTAGGGGTACACTTCAACCACAGCAAAGGGCAGGCAGCCTGTGCCAGTCAGGCAGCTGGTCTGATAGCATTCAGCAGCAGGACCAGCTTTTACCTGGGTCTCCCCAGACCCTCCCAGGGTACCAGTCAGCCCTGCTGAGCTGTGTCCATTCCTGTAGCATGGCCTGCATCCTCACAGAGCTGGGGGCTGCCCTGCCTGACCACAGGCTGTGGCTGGTACTTAGGATATGGCCTTGAGCCCCTGGACTGGAGGATGGATGTACTGCACCCCTTCTGCAGCCCTGTCAGGCCGGAACCCTCCAATCTACCAGTTTCCTTTTGAAGGCTTTGCAAAGGGTATAAGCAGACAGGGCCTTCTACGTGGAACCTTTGCAGGTCATTGCTGGCCACTGTCTTGCACATCACTCCTGCCCTGTCAGGCCCAGTTTCTGCCTCCCAAAGGAGACATATATAGGCTCTTGGGAGAGGGTGTGCAGTGGTCTATGGGCCCAGTCTATAGGGCTGGCATTGTGGAAAACTGTGAGTAGAGCTTACCAAAGAGATGGTATGATGCTGAGATGCCCAAGAGCAGCCTTGCTAGTTGGGGGTGGGGGGGGCGCTGCCCCCAAGATCCACCTGGTGCAGAGCAGATTGCTGTGGCCCAGGTGTTGGTTGGGTGCTAACAGCTTTCCTCCCTCCTAGATGGCGGACTGTGGCGGTCTCCCACAGATCTCCCAGGTGAGTGCCAGCTGTTGCCCTCCCTGGTGGGGGCCCCTCTGCACATGCGCCTCCGTGACCTGCATGTGCCTCACTTCTCACCAGCTCCCTCTGACCACAGGTGGTGGTTTTGGTGTGTGGTGATTTACAGACTGTGCATTCACACCAGGGCACACTGGCTCCCCAGAAAGGAACCCCTTGTGGAATAGGTAGCCCTGGGGTTCCCAGGCTTAAGGGAAGTGCCAGTGGGCAGAGCTTGGTCACTGAGGGTCAGATCGCAGGTCTCCCGAGGGACCACAGGCTTCTGCTAGAGCCAGGGCTCCAGGACCGCAAGCCAGGGTCAGAGAGACACAGAAGACATGGAGCTAAATCATGTGTGCATGTGTGTGTCTGTGTGTCTGCCTCTATGCACACGTGTGATGTAGCGTGTTTGCTGCGCCTGTCATAACTGACTTCCCAGTTGCCTCCTGTGAACAGCCCGCCCACCTATCACACAGACCCTTAGTCTTAGTTACTTTTCTCTCACCGCTGAGACAAAATACCCGACACCCAATGTTAGAGGTGAAGGGATTTATTTGGCTTAGAGTCCTTAGAGGTTCAGTCCATAATCAGCCAACTCCAAGGCAGGGACAACAGGCATGTCACAGCAGAAAGAACATGGCACATACAAGACAGTGAAGGTTAACAAGAGAGTTAACGGGGTCTCCCTGTCCCTTGTATCTTATTCAGGCTACTTAGGGCCGGCACCACTCAAACCCTTAATCCTAGTGCCCTGGAGCCTAGCATTGCACCATGAATCAGTCCCGGCTTCACACACTAGATAAAGCCTATGACCACATGAGGCTTTGGGGGCACATCTAGACCCAAAACACAACACCTTTCTTCTGTTTTCTTACTGTTTAGTGTCAGGAATTCTATCTTGAAATGGAATGCTCCATGAAGCTTTTGTTGTCTTTCTTTCCTCCAAACCCTCTCCCTCCTCCTTGTTTCCTTGCTCTACTTGAAATTAGAGCAGATCTTACACTGCCGGTGATTAGGAGTGAGCCGGCCCAGCTGGGGATGCCCTGTTCCTGTGTTTGCTGCCCCCCACCCCCGCAGAGTGTGTGCTTACAAGCAGTCGTCCCACCCTTCATCAAGTTAGACCCTTACAATTGTTCTCAGAGGCAGAAAATGCCAGGATCTGATCTCATTATCACAGAAGAGGACACTGAGGCTCGAATATGGGAGAGTTGGCCCATGGCCACCCAGGAAAGCCCCACTGGGCATGAGTCCCATTCGCAAGCCTGTCTTCTTGGTACTGTCCCATTCTCTGAAGCCTGGACATGCTCCACTTGTCACTTTTTCCACTGTCGCAGGGATCCCAGAGGGCAATTTTGTCATAGCCAAGCGTCACTTGCCACGGTATGGATTGGTGGCAGGAGTCAGAGGGGCTGTAGGGAGGGCTCCCGTTGACTTCTCACTGTAGGAGAATGGGACCCAGGGAAATGGCTGTGAACTCTGCGGCTGGGGGAAGCCTGCAGGTGTGCATGAGAATTCCCTCCTAGTTGACAGGAAGTAGACTGTTTCAGAGGAAGGGCCTGCACCAACAGTGGTCCAACACTTCCTACTCAGCTAAAGTAACCAGTTAGTTAATTATGGTTTGTCTGTCCACCCAAGCATCTAACCATCTGTTCTTCTTTCCATCTTTTTCTCCTTTCATTTGTGTTTTCACCCACCCATCTTTCCTTCCACCCATCTTTGTTCTTTTCATCCACTTATCTATTATCCATCTTCCTTTCTTCTGTCCATCCATTCATCCACCCTTGCACTGAGGCTGGTGGTGAATTACCTTGAGCACATGTGTTCTGGGTTTGGAGGCCTGGGGGTGAATCTGTGGGAGCCACCCCTTATTAGCTGACGATCCTGGGTGGATGATTTTCCTGTTTGGCTCTGCCTGCTATGCCCTGTGTCCATGATAGCATGGATTTCTTACGGTGCTTGGTGGGAGGAGATGAAATGTGTGCTGAGCTGTGGAACCCTTGGTGGCCCAAAAAGTTTGTGATGCTGCTTTGGGTCTGTGCCAGATGTGGGGTGCAGTGCTGTGTCCAGCATGGCCCCAAGAAACACTTAGCAGTTAGGGTGACACCACCCTATTTTACCAGCCAGGAAACCAGCTCAGATGGTCACGTGACTTGTCCCAGTACCTACAGCCATGAAGTGACATTGAACTCTTTCTGCCTGGCCAAAGCTAATGTTAGCCCTGTGAATAGCCCAGAATTTTACCTTTGCTTTTATGTCTTCTCCTGTTAATACATGGCCTTTGTTCATCTCAAGCAAAGCTCTGACATGAGCATAACCAGAGTCCCGGCTGAAGGTGGCCTTTGGCAATCTGGACCTCCTGCTGCTGACCACACTTTCTTTCTCTCCTCTCTTTCACAGCCAGCCAAGCTCGCTGAGGCCTTCAAGTACTTCGTGCAGGGCATGGGATACAGTGAGTGTGGCATCTCCCAGCATGTGGTGGACAGGGGAGGATTGGGAAGGCAAAAGCTGTGCCCTAGCGGGGTTTGGATGAGAAATCTGTATCACACTGGCCAGTTTCTGGGTGTGGAACATTGGCGAGGACAAAGAAAGAAATGTTTGCCATTGTGCGCGACCGAATGGTAGGAAACACCTGAGCAGTGCTCCAGTAGTCAGTTTCACGGTTAGGTGAAACAACATAGTGTACTTACAAAGCCTTAGGCAGCTCTGACGTCACAAGGGGTCACAGCAGTGTGATCTTATGGAACCACTGTCGCATTGCATATACACACTCGATCACTGACCGAAACATTGTTTCATGGCACATGCAGCTGCTGGTCGACCAGAAGTTGCTTTGCACCTCAACTGTTTTAGGCTTAGGTGAGGACTGTCCCAGTAAGCACTAAGAAGACAACAGACAAGAAGCAATCCATGTCTTTTTAATCTTGATTACATGCTTGCTTAAAAGCGTACCCATTGCTCTGAAGAGTCTGAAGACAGTGGCAGTAGTGATGAATGACTGATGAACCCTGTATTTCTTCACGTTTAACCATCGCAATAACCCTACAAAATATTCTTGACCTCGGTTGACATGTGAAGGAATTGTGACTTGTGGAGGTTAAGCAAGCAGCAGCAGAGAAGTGGTCCATGGAGGTTCTGAGCTCTGTGTGCGTGAATGGTGAAGCTACCTAGACTCATGATAGAGTCTATCCTGAGACAGACCAACAGATGAAAGCTTAATCCAGGAACTTGCTGCCCCTGTTTTATTTTGGTGGTCACCCACATACAGCACATTCCAAGCAGAGGCTCACAGGATGCGGGGTAAGCTCCTAGTTGAGGGACGGCCCTGGTCAGGCCTGCTGGCATGTTACTGTGGTTCTGGCCCTGAAGTGGCCCTCTCAGCTCTTCTCGCCCTTGCTTAAAATCTTGCGCGTGCCCTTCTTTGCCAGGAAGGCCTTGAACTTCTAATCTCATTTTCTCCTTAGACCCTTCTCCTGAGTAAGGGAGTAACAGTGTATTTGACAAACCAGCACAGTTCTAAGCTCAGCCTCAGCCATGACTAGCTTCTAGAAGGCCGAGAACGAGGGAACAGGACTTCTATGCTAGGCAAGGTCCCTGTCCCCAGGTGCCCTCTGGCAGCAGAACACATTTGCTCCAAGCCCTCCTGCTTGTCTGCCTGTTTTCCCCACAGGGAGGGGGCAAGCAAATGTGGAAACTGGAGAGAGCCACTGCACAGGCCTTGTTTACCTTGCAGGGCATGAATCGTGGCTCATCTGTCTTGGATCTGACATGGTTTGAATTTCTGCTTCCTGTGTATTCTGGGAGAACAGGGAGCAAAAGCAAGGCCTTGATTTTTTTCCCCCCAAATCAGCTTCTTTTTCAGCTTTTACCCCAATTCAGCTTCTAACAGCCAAAGCATCCTGGCCTGCTTCTCCTCCTTGGAGAAATCCCAGAAGGTACTGCCTGAAGGGACAGAATGCAGCCGTTCATCCCTGCTCACGATGGTGGCCATATGACTGGCACCATGTGTGTGCTTGGCATCCTGGACAGTCACTGTAGCCCTGGAGGGGCAGAGCAAGACTCCCGGAGTTGCAGTCTAGAAGTAAAGATTCAGGGAGAATATGTGAGCCACAGATCTGGGATTGATGTAGATTTTTTTTTTTCTGGATTCAAAAGGAGAGAATCTACTATGTGTGAATATCTGTGGTAGAAAAGCAGCCTTATGACTATCAAGTGGCCATGGCCAGCCGTCCATGGACCCAATGCTGTCCTTTGCTTTGGCAGCTGATGCACGTTACTCAGTGCAGTCTTTGCAGCCCACTTTAGTTGGGTGGAATTTTAGTCTTACTGTGCTGCCATAATAAGCTCTCTCGCAAACTGGGGTCTCAAAATGAGAGGAACTCATTCCCTGGTAGTTTAGGGACTGAAAATGTTACATCAAAGTGTTGACAAGGCTGTACCCCTGAAGGTTGTGGAAGATGCTCTCCTTGCCCCTTCCTGGCCTCTCTTGGAGGGAGCAATCACTGGCCTTCCAAGCCTTGTAGCAGCCTCATTCCAGTCTTTGCCTCCATCTTCCGACTGCCCTCTGCCCCATGTCTGCATCTCTGTTTTATTAAGGACGTGGCCACAGGATTAGGGATCATCCTAATCCATGACAATCTCTTCTTAACTAATTATCTCTGTTTGCAAATAAGGTGCCATTCCGAGGTCCCAGGTGGGCCTGAATTTGGGAGGGGACATTATGCAACCCGGCAGAGGTGGGACCACCCACCTTCTGGGCATTTGAAGTCTTAGAGAAGCTCTCCAAGGATGCTCAGCACCATCACTGGTGCGGGAAGCTAACAGGCCCTTTGGGGGACACAGACAGCTGATGTCTCTGTGGAACACTGGCTGTGGGGCCCTCGTCCCACACCTGTGGGGCTCAAGGACCCATCTGACTGTCCTCAGACACCCTCCCTGCTCCACTGACATCTGCCAGCAAGGGGCAGTGGGCACTGCTATGCAGGCTTGTGTTTACACCCCCAATGTACAGATGAGGACAGGGTGCTCAGAGAGGCGCACCCCCAGAGTTGCACAGCACTTCAGCAAGTGGCACAATTGAGTCTCACACTGAGGTCTGGGCTCAGTGCTCTTTCCGTGTGGGCCTCAGTAGCCCCCTTGAGTGGCAAAGTAGCGGGAGCCTGTATCTGGGTCACTGCAGGACTGAGGTGGGGCTGACGGCCGGACGGTGCGGTCAGCCCCCACGGCCATGTCCTGCCCCATGACCGGCCTGTCTTCTGTCTCCCCAGTGCCCTCTGCCAGCATGACCCGCCTGATGAGGTCCCGCACAGCCTCTGGCTCCAGTGTCACATCCCAGGAAGGTTCCCGCAGCCGCTCCCACACCAGCGAGGGCCCTCGCAGCCGCTCCCACACCAGCGAAGGCCCCCGCAGCCGCTCCCACACCAGCGAGGGAGCCCACCTGGACATCACCCCCAACTCCGGGGCCAGCGGGAACAACGCCGGGCCCAAGTCCATGGAGGTGTCCTGCTAGGAAGCCTATGCCGGCACTCCGGACTCGTATCTCTGTAATGGCCTCTCCTCCCATCTTCCCTGCCCAGGCCTGCCACCCTGCGCTAACGTGGTATTAATCCGAAGCTTATTTTGAAAGCGTGAGCTCTGACCATGTACAGCTTGGGTCTGTCCAGGGCCCCTTGTGGAACGAGGGTGAGGTGGCTGGGGACCAAAGGACAGCAGCAGCTCAGTGTCCTGTTTTCATTAACTCATGGCCTGGTTGCCATTCTCTTACCTGTTCTCAGAGACACCAAACTGCCAAAAGCTAGAAACAGAGTAGCACACACTTCCCCATCCTGGCTCAGCAGCCTGAGGCGCTGGCCTTTTGCCAGCCCACCGACTTCCTGTTTCCTCTCCAACTGAAGCCAAGCTGACTGGGTTCCTGTAGGGAAACCATCTCTGACTGGGGATTGGGGAGGGCCAGAGCAGTGAAGTGTGGGTGCATCATTTAAGTATGTAAAACAGGAAGAGGGAAGGCAGAAGTGGAATTGACATGGAGCCTAGAAGCATTTGGAAAACCAAATCCACGTAGCTCACTTTCTCCAAATCAGTTTTGAAAGCTGGTGCATATGTGAACTTTTGAGTGCCGGAGCACATGTGCCTGTTTTTCTGGCATCTTTTAACATACAATGAAATCAGGCAGCATGCTCTGCCAGCTTCACAAAAAGACAGCTTTGGCAGACATTGGTGTCACAGTGTCGTAAGGCTTTAGATGTGCTGTTGGCCTCCTCCACTGCCCCTACCTCCCACCCCACATCCTGAAGTGAGTGGTTAGCTTTGTCCTCGGGGAAGATCGGTAGATTTCTAGTGGCATTCTTTGAAATGGAGCAAGCAGCATTCCAGCCAGCTGAGATGAGTCTGTGCAGGGAAGCAGGAAATGGGGCTGGGAGTGGGATCCGGATGACCAGACTAAGTGCTTTCCAGAGAATCCAGTATAATGGTGATTATTTCAGTGGGCCCCACCCTGTTTCCCAGGAATCTTGTGTGACTGGGTTAAATCCGGGCTCCCCTGGTTCTCTGCTGAGGTTGATTTTGAACTTGATTGCTGAATGTCTCTGACCCAAGACTTACTGGGTCTTCAGATACACTTTTTTGGTCTTACATAAGGAATGGGAATTTGCATGGGTCATGGGCTGAGGAAATGTGAGGGTCCTGGGATCTGTATTCCCTGTGAATACCTCTCCCTGTCCTGCCTTCCTGCCCCTCTAACCTCCTCCTGCTGACCCGGTGGCACCACTGACACTCCTAAAAGATGCCAGCACAGCTGTCCAGTTCCTGTGCTGCTGCCTTCTGATTTCCACTTTGGCTAACCTTGGATTTTCTCATAGCGGGTTTGATCAGATGGATCGAACACGGTGTATCAGCCACTGGGGTTTGGTGATTCCTAGGAACCTAGAGTTGGTAGAAGGAAGTACAGTCATGCCTCCTAGGTGGCTGAGAGGCAAAAATTCAGTTGACCTGCCAACTACCACCTTGGAGACTTCCCCTGACCTTGTGCTGAAAAGATCAGAGACCCAGGAGAGAGTGGCTGAGTGTGGACCAGAAGCTGCTGTACAAGTCTTTCCAGAGGGGTTTCTTAATGAGATATTTGTATTTATTTCCAGACCAATAAATTTGTAACTTTGCAACGGCTTGTGTCTTTTGCTCTATCTGAGGGGTTGTATATGGACACTGAGGTGGGGAATGGGACTTTAATGAGGGGGTGGATTGTCTTTGTTCCCCAGGCTCCTGTCATAGCCCCCTCACCCCAGGAAGTCAGTTTTAGAGCAGCAGAATGTACTAGGAATACAGCCACACCGACAACTAAATTGTCTACTAGCCACATTAAAAATGTTGAAAGAGGGGCTGGGGATTTAGCTCAGTGGTGCCGCCGTCTGCCTCACAAGCACAAGGACCCAAGTTTGATCCCTGGTACAAATTTTTTTTAAAAAAACGTGGAAACAAACAGGAGAAATTAACTTTCATAATGCATCTCATTTAACCCAGAAGATCCTTTATATTGCCATTTGTAGCAAACTTATCAATTAGACATTTAATGAATTCCCTTTTCTGTGCCAAGAAACCCAATGTGTGGTTTCCCCTTCACATCTCACTCAAGTCCAGCCTGCCACACACACATCAGGGGCCCAGCACCTGGATCAGCACAGTGGCAAGAGAATAAACCCTTTTACTCTGCAATTAGGAGGCATCATCTTTATTTTAAAAGGTTGTTTTTATTACCGGAAGGTATGTGGAATGATCATGGCTTTTCTCACGCTCAGTGAAAACTACCATAGTATTTGCTTTCCCCTGTACATTTTTGAACATGTAAACAGGCTTTATGTAACTTCCCATCTTATTTCAGCTTTGGATTAAAACCAGCTTAAAATTTACAGGGCAGTTGCCATGATAACACAGTGTCACCCTAATCCCCACTGTCCAGCTCCTGTTCTCCACATTACAGTAGAAGGGAGCATTTGTCAAACAGTGAAGTTTGCCTGTCCCCTCAGCTTCAGATTTTCTTGGGATTTCACTTGTTCTCCTTGAGGGTCCTTTTTCTGTCCAGGGTCCCTTGCAAATGACCCCAGCAAATCTAATTTCATGTCTCCATGCTTCCTCAGGTGTGTTGCGTTTTTTTCAAAATTCCCTTGCCTTTGGACTGTACTGAGAAGCAATGGGCAGGGGTTTTTGGAGAAGGTCCTGCAGGGAGGGGGAGGTGTGGGGTTTTTCTCATGGTTCACCTGGTAGGAGATCCACAGAGATGAAGCCCTCATCACATCGTATGGAGGAACATAGTATCAGCATGGTTTACCATGGGTGAGATTGACCTTTCTCACCTGCCCTGTGTTCCTTGGCTTTTCCAGCAAGTCACTAAGTGTCGCTCACCCCAGTACCTCCATTATGTAAGGTAACATGGTCTTTCTCACCTCTCCTGAAGAGCTGGCTGCTTAGCTACATGATGAGATATGAGCCTTCCAAGGTCTGCATCATAGAACAGGGAGCAGATTTGTCATGATCCGTGGACTCTGCTGTCCAGGAAGTAGGCAAGAAATACCCCAGGGTGTTGACTCTGCACAGGAGGAGGAGGTGCCCCTATAGGGGTGCCCGCTTGGGCACCAGCACAGAGGGTGGATGAGCTATGTGTGTGAGGAGCCTACAGTGTGCACCCAAGTGGGTGGCCTGGGATACTGTGCAGGACAAGACAGGAAGCCAGTGGGGTGGTCTTGGGGAAAGGCTGGTCCCCCACAGTTCTGTCTCCTGTCCCATCTAAGTCCAAGGAGAAGGCAGCCTTTTTTGAGCCTCTTTGGTAAGTCAGAGAAGCCTTCTTATCCCCTTCCAAAGAATTTAAATGAGTAAAATAAAATCCATGAAATTATCATAAAAAAATCAGACACATTGAAGTACGATTACTCAAACATTACACATGTACTTCCTTAATGGTTAAATAGAAGCTTGAGTCAGTTCCCAGTGTGACTGCAATTTCCAAGTAATGACGAGCATGCTTTGAGACAGCCACCTCAGCTGTGAAGAGACCCTGCCTATGATCACAGCTGGCAATGTTGGTGGGATTTGTTGCCTACATTTATAGAGAGATGAGTGCTAAATTGCAACTAGAGGCTAGAGAAACAGATACATTTTGCTCCATCCTAGGACAGGGCCACTAGCATCTATTCATGGATCCCCCAAGGGTCTAAAGAGCGCTCATGAAGAAGCTTTGTTTCCCAAGTTGGGCAGGAAGCACATTGGTTCACAGGTAGCAGTACCCTTCTTTCCTGCTTTGAGTCCAGTAAGGTCCAGTAGAGGGCAGTGAGCTGTCTTAATCCAGCTCAGGGAATGGGGTGGCACAGAGACCACTGGACTTGCTGGGTCAGGCTTGGAAGTCCAGGTATAGCTTGGGAATTTGCCCAGTAGGATGCTACTGAGAGGTGAGGTGCCAGGGGCTGCTTTGCCAGCTATGGATCTACTTCTTCTGCTCTAGCGGCTTGTATGGGTTTCATTTCATATCCCCAGCCTTGCCTTTTAGTAACAGTTGGGAGACCAAGCATGCACTGGGCTCAGCCACAGGTAGGGTCTGCCAGGACCTCTGAGTCTTCTGAAGCCACGTCCTCATAGCTGCTTCTCAGGCACAGCTCACCCTGAGTTGCCGGATCGGCCCCCAGATGCAAGTCCATCTGCTCGTGTATCTGTGTCAGGCTGCTTAGGCTGTGGGAAACCCTTCCCTGGTGTCCTCTGTGAACCAAGGAGCTGAAGCCTTGGGTTAGAAATAGGAGTCGGGGAGGGGTCTGAACAAATAAATCAGCCTCCTTTCTCAGGTCAGATTTCTCTGTAACTCAAGCATGAAATGTTAGCCCTAACCAAAGGGCTATCTGACCTTTCCATTCTTGAACTTCAAGCCAGTCAAAGCTTTTTGTTTTTTAAGGAGAGGAACCTAACTGGTCCAGTTTGGCTCAGATGTCCAATCAGCTATGCTGTGCTCAAGTCCTGCCACTCCTACCCCTCATCCTCAGCAGCAGGGCCTCTGAAGAATGGGAAGAAGAGTTGATGTGTCCTTTGTCCACAAGCAAACTACTGTAGGGCATCGCTTCCTCATCCTGTCACTGAGAAGCATTTCCTGAATGCCCAGTTCTTCCCAGGAGGCAAGAGAAATGGCACCTGAAACTTCGCCATGCAGGTCACTGTGTGTATCCTTCACCCCGCAAGCTAGTGAGTTCTTATTTTAGGGTCTTCAGGGTTAGCCCAGAATCAAACACCTAACAGGAGAATTTTGATAAACAAGCAGATGGACACTTTCTCTTCCAACAGGAATACTGAGTATGTGTTATAGTATCACCTTATACATTGTCAGGAAGATGCCATTTGCTTCACAGATAAGGAAGACAGCTCAGAGATTAAACAACTTCCCCGGCCATTTCTAGACTGATCATATCCCTTGGTGCCTGCTAAAATCATTCACTGGGCACACACATTACTCTCACCGACACCAATGGAGATCTCAGGGTTATGGGCTGGTGAGCTCCCCAGACTAAGATGTGGATGCCCACAAGGTATTAGTGGCTTGGGGTGTGTCTGTTCTTCTGCTGAACCATCTACTCAGACAGTCAACCGGTTTTTATGATGATTTTCATGGGGTTTTTAATCTCTCCCCTCTTTTTGGCTGGTGGCTGAAATTGTCTCACTGTTGCCCATAACCTTGCTTCTTCTCTCCCTTTTTATGGAACTGGCTGATAAATCTACATTGTCAGGATTGTGTAAAAACCAAGAGTAAGGAGGCTCAGAGTAGAGATCCAGAGACATTCTGTACAGCATGTTTGAGATGTCATGTGGATTTTATTCCCCCTTTCTTTTCTCCTTGCAAGTCTCTTTCACTAAGTTCTACATTCAGAGAGAATCCAGACTCAGGTAGAGGTTGGGTTTCTGACGACAGAGGAAGACTCTGATTTTTTGTTTTGTGAGACGAGACTACATGAAATCCTGATATGTTCACCATGTACTCTTTTTAGAGGTGGAGTCTCACTGTGTTGCTCAGGGTGTCCTCAAATCCCTCAGCTCATGAGATCTTCCTGCCTCAATTTTGTGAGTAGCTGGGACTACAGTTGTGTGCAACGGCACCCAGAAACCACTCTACTTTTTATAATAAAATGTTCTGGCTATATTCCCCAAGTCCCATTTTCCCAAAACCTCAGACATCTGCTATCCTTGGAAATATCTGTCAAAATCCACACATTTCGCTCAATCTCTCATATCACACCATGATCCAACTTCCAATTTTGAAAACAATTACCCTTCATAATAGAAGTATTCTTGGAAACAGTTTGTGAGACAAATTTTGTTAGTGGAATCAAGCCTCCGCTTGACCTTTGCTGTGATATCATCATGTGTTTTGGGACAGTAGATGTGGGATCTGGCCAGAAGGGATCAAAAGGGACATTCATTGCATCTGTCCCAGCCATCTGCATATCTGCTCACACAGCTGAGCACATGCTCTGGTCTGGGCTGGGTGTGGGAGGCACAGAGAAGAGTAGCATGTTCTTTCTGCCTTAAAGAAGCTGGGCCACAAATAAAGTTACAAAATGAAACAAAACCAGTTTTTAAAAAAGTGACTGCTATGGTTTACATCTAGATCTTCCCTCAAAGTCTCATGTGTTCAGAAGTGGGGCTTTTCAAAGGTGATTGAATTGTGAGACCACCGCATTCCTTGGTGGATTGATCCATTGAACCATTGATAAGCTTATGGCCCAATGCTCTGTGAAGAGGCGGGGCCTCATTGAAAGAGCTGTGTCACCACTGGAGGGTGCATCTCCTTCCCCAGCTCCTCCCTTCTTTCTCTGCTTCCTGGCCATGAGACTAGCAACTTTCCTGTGACAGGCCATTCCACCATGATGTTTCTACCTTGGAGTCAGATGACCATGGACTGAATCCTCTGAACATGGAACAAAATTAGACCTCTCTGCTCCTTTAAGTTGTAGGTTTTGGGGACTGTGTCCCAGCAATGGAAAAATTGGCTGATACAGTGACTAAGTGGCCTATGATTAAGTCAGAGAGCGTTCGACAGATGTGGATGACACTTTATATCTACCAAAGGGTAAATAAGTTAAATGTGTAGACACACACATTGATGCTAATCCATGCTATAGTCTGGTTGATTCCTCTAAGTGTATGAGGAAACAGAATCAGCTAACAACAGATGGGCTTACTAAGGGTTTTCTATGTTTTCAGCTCTATTTTAAAAAATTGTATGCAATGTACATCATGCCAAGGGGTAGAGATGATCATTTTGTGCATTTCCCTGTTGAGGATACCAAGGCCTGGATGACTTAGTGAGGAACTCAAATAAGGGTTAGTACACTCAAATGTCTTGGAGCACAGTGTCAGGCCTTTTTCCTTGTATACCATAGCTCCCCCTCCTCTTCCTGTGCTCTACTGCTCCTCAGGCTCATCCATCTATTTCTGCTTCCTCCACCCCTACATAGGTCAGAAACTGGTCCCTGACCTCAGGATAATGAGAATTGTTGAAGATATAGAAAATCATTGAATAAATGAATGACTCAGTGAATGGTAAACATTTCTCTTGCATTGAGAAGGTGTCATTCATTGACAGCTCTGGTCTTTTCTGAATTCCAGAATCTATATTCCTAAGCCCATTTCCAAACTATTAAACCATTTTGTAACCTCTCTCTACAAAATATCTGAAATGCATGCCCCACCCTCAAAGCACGGATTGAATGTGTTCAGTGCCCCATCTTTGCCTCATAACTGAATGCACAAGAAAATCCACCTACTCCTCTAAGTTACTTCGCTGATGATTTATTGCTTTAAAGAGGAAAGCTGCAAACAAAGAACTTGAGCAATAAAAATCTTTCACATTGAACAATATGTTCTATGCTATACAAATCATGAGAAAAATGAGAAATACTGTACAACATGACAGATTGCCCAAGAGCTCTTTTCCCTCTAATGGGAAATTTTAAGGCACTTCTTCATATGGATCATTTGGTCACTTACAAAAATGGCATTGGGACTATTTCAATATTAAATCACATTTTGAAAATGATACATACATACATATACATACACACATGTATAGGTGTGGGAATACCTAGTTAATTGTCATAAACATTCGTGATTCCCAGCTATGCATCAAAATAAGTCCTTAAAAAGCAGTAATATCATTCAACATAAGGGTTCCAGGATGTATTACTTCTCCACAATCATTATGCATACATAGGATTATATCAGAGTATAGACAATCATACTATTTGAATCTGCTTTCTTTAATCACTCTCTAAATCACCTTCAAAACTGACAGTGCAGCTACTGTCAATGAAACACTCCCCGTAAAGTCTTCCTGTGATTCAGGGCAGGATAACTAGGCTTGGTCCCAGGGGAGACGCCTCAGGTGTCAGAGGGGTTTGCCATCCTGGTCTGCTGTTCTCTAGCTGATAAAACTTTAAGCAAATTACTTAACTCTGTAAGATTTGGCTATCTTCTATCTAAGGACAATGGTAATGCCACATCTCCTGAGTTCACTCTAAAAATGGAATGAGATATGGCAGTAAAGCACCGAGCAGCAGGCCTGGTATGTACCAGAGGCTCCCTGATCCCTTCTCAGGGTTTAGCAGGAATCAGTGGTTTAATGAGCTTAGGACTCCCTTCCTCTGTCAGGTAACACACCAGGGAAAGTTGCTGATGGTTTTAACATGAAAATTTTTTTCCCTGAAGATTAAGTAATCCAGAGTGAGCCTCTCTTTCATCTCAGAACAGAGTCTCAAGGGAGTCCAAGTCCTTGGTCTCTTTGAAGTCTTGCCAGTGACAGTCTCAGAAGAGTCATCCAGATTCTACCTGAGGGCTGCCCAAAAGGCAAGGTAGAGTAAATTAAGCTTGGGTTTGAGTCCCAAATTCTCAGTCCCTTCAAATCTCAGAGTTTTCAAATATAAAAGAGAAGACAGGTGTAGCAACATTGCTGTGATACACGATGAGATAATGCAAAACTTGGCTTAGTGGTTGGCACTCACTACAGAATCAATAAATGGAAATGAGTTTCAATATGATTATTCTTAATGTTTCTTAAATTGGGGCACTCATCATGGCAGCATAATTCTATTAGAAAGAGCTTATTCAAAGAAGGGCCTAAGTAACCCTTCCATATGACTTCAACTCATTGTTCAAAGATGTTCTCTTTAGACCTGCATGGGCCAGATCCGTTTCTCAAAACCAACAGTAACTGGGTAACACCGCCATCCCATTCCCTATTCCAAGATAACCCCTAACTCCTTCAACCAGGTTTCCTACGATCTTGGGAGCTATGCTCAGTTCCCCAACTGGGATACAAATCTATTTAGATCATAGCTCTTGAAGTTCTCCTGATTTTATATGGGGTGAGTTGTTTTCTAGCCTTGTAGATGGTAGGTATTTCTTTTCCAAGAAAATCCAACAAGACTCCCAACAGAGATGATGGATGGAGTAAGTTCTTGTTACATGAGAATTCTTGTACATACATGAATATACATTTCTTTAAGTGGCACTTAATATAAGATTTTCACTGACAAAAATTAGATTTTCACACAAATGCAAGAAGAAAGCTTCTAAAATAAATGTAGAAACATATGTACAACTTATTTTATTTACCAAATACCTATTGAGAATCACTGTATGCCTTGCACTGTGCTAAGCCTTTGGGAGGTCATAGTAAGGAGGGCAAATTCCTGATCTTTTTTTTCTGTTGAGGAAACCCTCTGCAGGCTGCATGTAATTTCTTCACGAATAACTACACATCAGCCCAGTAAGCACTGCTAAGTAAAAACATTCACTTATAAATGCATGACCCAAGCTGGTTCATATTTGAAGGAGGGGATGATCTCAAGGAATGCATAATTTTTGTCTATTCTACTTTTGGGAGATGCTGAAGTGCCTAAATTATTGGAAAATCAGACACTTCTTTTGGAAAAGAAAAGCTAGAAAGACAATAATCAAAAGCAAAAAATGAGATCAAGAGTTGCTTCTTTTACTGTTTGGCTATTCTAGCACATTTGAAAGCTCAAGAAAAGTATGAATTATGAAGTCAGTCCAATTTGGACTTCAATTCCAATTCCCTCATTTACCTGATGGGTGACTCTGGTCAAGTTTTTCTTTGCCTTTCTGAGCTTCCATTTCACATTTGTAAACTTTGAAATGATAACAAGAACTTCTCAATACTATTGTGAAGATTCAATAAGCAAGTGTCTGGAAAGCATGGAGAACCATGTCTAGTACAGAGAAGATACTGAATCAAAGAATATGACAGTAATATATCCTAGTAATGAAATAAATAAGAGTTTCATTTCCATTTATAACAACCTTCTCTTTTCTTTTAGCCTTAGTTATTATTATTTTTGTTGGCTTTTAACCTCTATTAAATGGATTTCCATATCTAAGCAACTGCTCAGCTTCTGTCTTTGGACCTGAAAACTGAATTGCTTTGACCCGCCAACCCAAGGTCTATGAAATAAGTCCCTGCATCATAAAGCAATGTGTCCTGGGTCCAGGGACCTCAGGATCTTGCAGCCTCCCTCCCCTGAGGCCACCTCAGGTGGATGCAATGTGGTCCCACTTCTTGGTTTGACCCATACCTTGCCTAATGGCCTGGTTTGGACTTCAGAGGACACTTCAGAGGATACTAAGGTTCATAAGAGTAGAAGTATCTTCCAGGACACCCGTGTCAGGCACAGAAGGGCTCTACCACTTTCCAAGTGGCCTGGGAAGAAATAGGGTCAGTATGCAAGGGAAGTCCCAGCCAGGGCCCACAGAAATGCCAGCCAGCAGTCACTGAGTTCTTTGGTCTATTGTGCTTCTGAAACTGGCTTACCTTGCTGTGACCCTGCACTGTCTACTGGGTGCTTTCCCCATGGACAAAAGTAAAATTACTCAAATCACATTTTGGATTGAGATGAACCCAGTCTGAACCCTTCTTAGTGCAGGAGTAAAGAGAAATGGAAGCTCTGCAATGTCCAGGTTGACAAATACAACTCTTCTCTGATCATCAAACCCAAACAACTATTCAACTCACTTGACAAATGTCTGGTGTTGCTGTGGTGCAGAAATCTTTGGAATCACGGCTTCCTTTGGCATACTATGGATGGAAATGCCAGTCAGTGGACTACATGAAAGGGTCCACATAATCACTTCCATTGTCCCTAGTCCCATCCATTCTCCCGTGTAGACCTAAGAGCTCCATGGAGTTGGCCACTAGAAGAGAATCTGTGACACTGGATATTTAGCTGGTTCCATTCCTCAGGACCTGGACAAGATCCAGCAGGACTTCCAATGGCTCAGCAAGGATGAGATTGCTTTGATCAGAATAGCTAGAAACAGGTACTTTCTTTCATGTGATGCAGAGTGCCACCCAAGGTGGCACCTATTGTTTGGGTCTCAGTAGCACCATCACGGATCATCTTGGTGGTGGAAGACGGAAAGGGAGCTGAAGGTCCACATTGGAGCTTTTAGAAGTGAGTAAGAACCGGACAAAAGAAGGCTCAATTGTGATGCTGGTGGCCTCAGAGTGCTGGCTGGTTTACAAGCATTTAGCCAGGTCCCAAACCTCATGATTTGTGCCCCATTTAGTTGGCAATTTCTGAGATGTCAGGGTAGAGTTCCAAGTCAGCAAAGATATCATTAGGATTCCTGCAGGTCAGGTTGCAGAAGCAAGCATTGATCCACAGGACCTTGCGGGAGAAGCCAGGCCCCTCAGGACACTGGAAGGAGACCTCGATGGTCTTGGACTTGTAGGGGATGCAGCACCTGTTGTCTGTGCAGACTCCACAGTACTTGGGCCGGTAGGAGTGGGTGCTGACGCAGCCCGCAAGAGTGAAGTTCATGGGTGCATCTGGCTGGAACACAGCCAGACACTTCTTCCCTTCCTGTAGGAAATGGGAGGAGCTCTCAGTTGAGATGCTCAGGGCATGGACAATCACCATCTTCCCCCCAGCCCTTCTCACTCACTATGTACTTTGTCTTACTCTTAGACTTATAGCACCTTGAGCAAGGAAAAGCATTAACAAATAAACACAAGACCCAGGCACATTAGCCAGAGGTAAAATGAGGATCACGAAGCAATCGCCTTGCTGAGGTTAGACCTCAAAGCCTATAACCTCTCATAAACTTTTGCCTTGCCCATGCCCATTTGTCACAGTTTTGCCAACATGGGGAGACTTGGTATCTCTTTCAGCCGCCCTGGCTCCAAAGCTCGCCAGTGACAGGGCTGGCATGGGTGCTGCACAATCTGGGCAGGCTTTACCCGAGCTTCGCTCCTGTGCCTACCCCAGCCTCTCTTGTACATGGACTACATAGCCGATTCAACTGCGCTGACATCACTGAGAGGTGACTCTGTCCTTCCGTGGGGCTGCGGACCACCTGGGGTTCTTTTTGCATCTCCATGGCACATGAGATGTGATTGAAAAATAGGGCGACTGTTTAAGTTTTCAAACAACGTGTTATAGTAAAAAGCATATTGCCATTGATTCTTGTCAAAGTACTTCCCCTCGTTGAGATCACACCTCTCCCACCATTTGTCCTGCTTCTGGAGCAGCTCTGGAGGTCTTCCGTGGTAAATGCCTGTAGTCGTGCTGTCGCGCCTGTCTCAGTGTCCTGAATCAATTCAGAACATCTACATTTGCGCTCATTTTACTTTAGGGAAGAGCTAGACGTTCCAAGGTGCCAGATCCAGTGAATCAAATGGACGAGGACATGCTGTCGTGTTATTTATGAGCCTGTCTTACCCTTGGGTGCCGCCTGGCCACAGGTTGCACCATATTTTTTTTTTTAATCAGACTTCACAAAGCCACTCACTAAGAGGACTTCCAGTACTGCTTCAGAAGGTGACGTGAAAGATGGGATGAGTGTGTTTAAATTGAAGGGGGAGTGTTTTGGGAGGCATCAATGGCAATGTCTCTCTTACTGCAACAATTTTTTAAGTTTAAACACGCACCACATATTTTGATCACCTCTTGCAATGTCATGCCTGGTGCGGAGTAGGCACTTACTAAACATGTTGGACTAATGGTTCCTGGAGCCTGCTACGTCCAGAAATGGCAGAGCTGGGGTAAAGCAGATCCAGGCGTGAAGTGCATATGTTCATGAAACCCATTTAGAACACATAATCGTGGGCACAAAATTGGGTGCTGGCATTTCTTTAGCTGCTGGTGTCGTTCCATTCATGTTCTCAACTCAGACTGTCTATGGAGGATCTGCTGAGCAGGAAGCTCTGAGCACACAACGGCCAGCACAATGAGGGAAATAGAAAGGAAGAAAGAGGAAGCAAAGAGAAGAAAAAGGAGAAAGAGGAGGAGTGCATCTAAGAAACCAACAAGAGATGGATGGGGAAGTTGTTCCCGGGGACAGGGAGTGAGGCTGGATATTGGAAAATTACAGCAGGAAGCTGGGCTGTCTTGCCTGCTAGGAAACCTCCCCTCAGCCCCTCCAGAAATCACCTGAGCTCCAAAATGGAGCCAGAACTGAGCTTTGCTTCATTTTGTTTTGTTTTGGATGTGACTCTTGGCTAAGGCATGAGCAGGGAGTTTTGAGTTAAGCAAGCAAGATTCCGGCCTGCCTGAGCACCAGGACATAGCCTATGGGCTCCCTCATGCTTTATTTTCATTATCTGAGACTCTCGAAGCGGGAAGGGACTTTAGAGATGAATACAAACATGGTGACAGTGGTATCTGAGGCTCAGCAATGGGAGGAACTTGGCCAGTCGTGTGCTTACAA